TTCTCCCCATATTGAGCAAGATAAATATAGCATTTATATTTAAATACTTATGTCCAAACCCCAGTAGTCATAACAGTGAGATTTTATTTCTGCAAGGGAAGGCAATGCTGTGGTTGTCTCTCTCAAGGCCCCGCTGTGTGAGAATCCTACAGTATTGAGTCTTGTATTCCTCCTGGGACTGCTCTGCACAGTGTCTGCAGGAGCGCTGCAGAGTGGGCTGTCCCCAGCTGCATCCTGTGCTAAACTGTGGTCTGGCTGCTTCAAAACGTGAAAGGACTTTTTCTGCTTCTGTATTTCTGTCATGGCCAGAATCTCTTGCCATCTGGCCGTGTCCCATGCTGAGGGTGGAGCTGGCCCCACTTTGGTACGGGAGGACCTCTTGATGTAAGCTTGGAGTGGGTCGTCTTAGCTGTACTTCCAGACGCAGGCAGATGCTCCTGCTTCTGGGTCAGATGTAGGAATGGGGCATGTTTCTGCATGGCCATTTGCAGAGCATGTGGGGGATGATCTGCTGTGGGGGCGGTGCCAGGCGACAGCTCTTGCCTGGATTTAGCCTCTGGAGGGAGGCAGAAAGCCAGGGCTTGGCCAGAAGCTCTCCTGGCGTGGTGGAGGAGTGAGGTGGACACTTACCTGTCTCTGCTGTTTCTCCCCAGGAAGATCTGGCAGAAGGAAGGGCCCACGGCTTTCTTCAAAGGGGCATACTGCCGAGCCCTGGTCATTGCTCCTCTCTTCGGCATTGCACAAGTTGTCTACTTCATTGGCATCGCAGAGTTCCTGTTGGACATGCTCCCCAAGCCCCGGGCCTAGCCCTGGCGTGCTGGTGTGCCCTCCCGCCCTCTGCAGCGCTGAATTCATCCCCGTGTTCACCATCCATGTCCATTGATGTCAGAGCAACAGCACAAAGGGTTCGCGCAGGGATGCCGAAGGGATGTGGTCTCCAGATGAGCAAACATGGGGAGGGAGAGAGTCCCTTCTCTGTCTTGGTCTGGAACCTGCTCCCTCCTGCTCCTTCCACGGACAATAGTTAATTATTCATATCTCTTTTTTTTTTTAATTTCCCTTTCTTTTTTTTTAATTGTCATTCTTAAGGACACTGGTAAGCACAGACTGGGCTTGCAGACCCAGAAGTCTCCTCTCAGCCTTGGGGAGAAAGAGAGAGGGGAAAGAAATAACTTGAACCCTCATCCACCACAGATTCCCTCTTTCTTCCTGGAGCTGCCAGCTATCTGAGGAGGAGCTGGAGGGGCAGCTGTGTCCCCTCAGCACCTCCTTGGCTCTGCTGACCTTGGGTCAAGAGCGGGCACTGCACAAAGGGGGCATATCTTATTGCTGCTGGAGGCACAGTGTGGGGGGTGCTGGATCTGGCAAGTTCCTTGGCCTGGAAACCTTCACTCCTCCCTTCTCCCTTTTTAAAAACGAGTTGGACTTAAATGAATGCTGATTGTTAATATTGATTTTGTAATTATTTTTGTTTTAAAGCAAAAGGGATATCCCTCCTAACTAGGTGTCACAGGCACATTCTGGTGAGGTGCAGAGATAAGATGTCTGCTCTGTAGGGAACATGTCTGTGGGATCACATGAATGTCCAAAGGTGCTTCCCTGCTTGGCTACAGGCAGGGAAGGGAGAGGAACTTGGGATCAAGTTATTTTCATTTGGGGGTGTTTTCTGGGTGGGTTTTTTGGGGGGGCGGGGTGTGTTTGGTTTTGGTTTTTTGGAGGGGGCTTTTATTTGTTTGTTCTTGGTTTGTTTGGGTTTTTTTTAATGTAGGGTTTTGGGGAGGGAATACCAAACAACAAGAAACCACTTACATTCCTTCAACCTGCCCACCCCCAGGGTGATAAAAAGTGGTGGCTGCAGGTGTAGAGTAGCTGATCTAATTTTTTTCCAGCCTGACCCCAGGTGTGGGAAGGGAGGCACCCACTCCATTTCTGTGGTGCCCAAACTCAGGGAGCTGCACTAGAAATGCTGCTCCTGTGTGCTCACCTTGCAAGGTGAAAACACAAAGCCTGGTTGTGTTTTGATGTTTAACTTGGGTGTGTTTGGAGTCAGCCAGTGTAGAGGAGGCAGAAGGTTCCCGCACCCTGATCCAGGAGCTGTTTGCAGGTGCATTACCTGCAGGGTGAGTCCTCTGCATCACAAAAAACATGCCATTGGCTTCTGGGGTGGTGATCACTGTTGGGTGCCAGAGGCCAAATCCACACCTACAACTTGCTCTGTCAAAGGGACACTGCCCCAGTTAATATCACTTGTCAGAGGACTTCCTCGTTCAGTACTCTTTTGGGCTTTGTAATTAATTCTAGTTTAAATGACCTTAAGTGTGAGACCTTCCAACCCAGCGTGATCTTCTCCGTTATTTATTCCATTTGGTGCAATCCACCCAACTTTGGTGTTGAAATTAAACTGGTTGAATTCACTTTTCATTCCTTCTTTTTGCTTTGTTCTCCAGGCGCTTGCTTGGTGTTTGTGTTTCAAATGTGTTTTAAATTAATTAAAAAAAAATCCGTTTTTAATGTTTAAAAGGAAACCACCTCTGTTTCAATGTTCTTGGGTTAGGTTTTTGTAAAACCTGTATGTTGAGGGCCTTCTTCCGTGATGAATCCTTTTTCTCTTCAAGAAAGTTGTTCTGTGGCTGATTTGTTACTTGTCACTATGCATATATGAATAATTTTCTTTATTTTTCTTAATGACTTCTCCATGTATCTGGGAAGGAATCTGTGCAAAGATGATGATAGTTGTCTGTTCTGTGTGTGGTGCTGTGATGCTGCTCTTGCTCTGGATTTTCCTTGGGTGGAATTAAAAGAGAAAGATTTATTTTATTTTTTTTTTAAGGTGCCCCATTCCTTGCTGCTTTGTGATTTACAAGGAGGGTCCTCAAAAGAGACTTTGCCAATAAAATTAGTGGGGTTTCAGCCTGCCCTCCTGCCTGCAAGGATTGTCCTCTGAAGCAGGGTGACTTGTGGCTGCAGGGGTGTGTATGGGGTGCAGGTTTGGATTGTGGGGTTAAGTTTGGAGGAAAATTTGGTGCAGTGAAGGGGTGAGGTTCAGGGAAAGCTCTCCTTGTCCTTTGGGATGCTTTTGAAAACCTCTTTGTAAAACTGACTCTTCCTTCTCAAATCACCAGCTCTTCTTCCCCTATGTTGGAGCTAGTGACCCTAATGGGGCTGATTTTTAGCTTCTTGGACATGTCCCTGAGTCAGCAGGAACTGGGGAGGCACCAGGGGATAGTGACCGTGGCTGCACAGGAGCTCCCCAGGCAGGCAGGGTCCTGCTTGCAAAAAAAAAAAATAGAGTTTAAAATGGGAGAATTCTCATCAACCTAATTAATCATTTATTAACTGAAACCTGTTGGTATTGATTGCAATAATGAGGAATAAAAGTAAATAAACACACCTCTGCTCCCTTCCCTGCAGGTGCCACTTGTCCCTGGGGCAGCAGCTGTCAGCCAGCGAGGGGTCAACTCCTTGTGCGCCCTCGCTGGTCCCTCTGGCATCTCTCCACCCACCCCAGGCCCTTCCCAGTCATACCTTGTCCATGTCAGCCCTGTCCCTTGCTCCCACCCTGCCCCTGGCTGCCATGGCTCCTGTTTGTTTGGGTTTCATGGTGTTCACTGCCCTTAAATACATTTTGCTGGAGCTGCTGTACTTGAACCCTGTCTTGGGTTCAGGTGCGTGAGTCAGTTTTGGCTGGTGGAATTCCCTGGAACGCAACAAGGAAATTTCCTAAAACCCTGGGGAGACGTTCCTACGAAGCAAATGGAAAATTCTGGCAACTGATAGGAGAATTCCTGGAAAGCAAAGGGAAACCATCCTAGAAAGTTAAATATTCTGGAAAACAAATGGGAAATTTTCTGCAAGACAGTGTAGGAATTTTCTTGAGAGCAGTAGGGGGAAGTAGGAATTTGTAGAAAGCAATGGGGGGACTTTCTATAGGGAGGATAGCGTAGAGAGCCAGGGAGAGAAATTCTAGAAAGCAAGGAGGAAATTTCCTCAAATACCTAGAAAATTTCTGAAAAGTAACTAATAATTCCTAGAGGGTAAATTTCTGAGAAAGTGAAGGAGAAATTGGTGGAAAGCAAAAGGGAAATTCTGGGGAGAGGAAGAATGATATTATTTCAGAAATAATTTCTTGCTTCCCAGGGAGTAAGTCTCATGGGGGAATTTCCTAAGAAAGCACTGGAGATCCTCTAAGCAGAGGGGAAAATCCTGGAAAGCAATGAAGGACTCTAGAGAGCAACAAGGACATTTCCCAGGAAACAAGGAAGAAATAGCCTTCAAAGTGACTGGGAAATTTCATGGGAAACAGTGGGGGTTTTTTTAGGAAGGAAGCTGAAGATTTCCTGGAAAACAAAAGGCAATGTTCTGGAAAAACATGTAGGAGTGCCTAGTAAGCAGCAGGGAGAAGTTCCTGGAAAGAAGAGGAAATTTCCTCAAAAGCAGCGCAGTGGGAAAAGAGGCAGCAGCAACTCCGTGTTTCAGCCCCACTGACCCCCACTCTGATCCTTGGGTAATGAACTCGAAAAACATCTCAGGGGATTTGAGTGGTTTTTGCTGCTTCCCACAGAGCTCCAGGGGGGTCAGGGGAGAGCCGGGAGGGCGCTGGGGCTGCCCCTGACCTGCCTCCTGTCATGGGTATGGATGAGCTGTTTCGCCTCTGCTTCAATGTCGAGCGTTGCCCTCCGGGCCTTGGCCTTTAATTGCGTTTTATTTCTTGACAGCCTTAGCTACAGCCGAGGCAGCCCGGGAGAAGAAGGGTTAAAATAAGAGAAAATCGCCCGGGGATTCCCAGCCCTGTGCCCAGGAGCGCCCCGGGAAGCCCCGGCGGGAGCGGGTGCGGCTGAGCCCCAGGGCTCTGTTTGCCCCAAGCTCACGTTTTAAGTCCGGTTTATTTATTTTAAATATGATTAGTTTGGGGAGGGGGTTGCGCGGGGCTGCGCAGCAGCATCTCCGGGGGCGGGGCCGGGCTGGAGCATCCCCCGGGCACCCCCGGGAGCGGCGGGACACACACGCACACACCCCCACATACCCTCCCCTCGGGAGCGGCGGCACTTTCACTTTCGGAAGGGACACGTGATTTCCAGGAAAACGGGAGTAGGCGGATAAAGGACCGGGCGGGAAGCGGCCGCCCCCCGCACCGAGGTCGCCGCCCGTCCCGTCGCAGCAGCTCGGCGGAGCCCGCACTATGGCAGCGCTGGAGAACGAGGGGTAAGCGGCGCCCCAGCACCCCCGGGCCGCCGTCCCCGGGTGGCTCTGATTCCCCCGGTGACGGCCCCCTGCCCGCAGGGAGGCCCAGAGGCTGCGTTTCGTCCCGTGGCTCCTGAACGCCATCAACAGCGGGAACTACCGCGGGCTGCGCTGGCTCGACCGCGAGCGCACCACCTTCCGCGTCCCCTGGAAGCACAACGCCAGGAAGGACATCACCAGCAGCGACCTGGAGGTCTTCAAGGTAGGTGGGATTGAGATCACCAGCAGGAACCTCACGGTCTTCAAGGTGAGCGGGATGGGGCTGATATGCAGTGCTCTTTCCAGGTCTTCAGGGTGGGAGGGTTGGAGTGACCACGCCTTCAAGGTGGGTGGGATAGGGTGGTGACCAGCAGCGAGTTGAGGTCTTCAAGGTGGGTGGGATGTGGAAACTGGGAAGGCAGGGGAAGACCAGTCATCCCTGAAACCTCCATGCTCATGGAGACAGAGGCCCCATGCTCACCTCCTTGCACCCACAGGCCTGGGCAAAGGTGGGTGGGCGGTATGAGGAGTCATCTGAGGACCCGGTCAAGTGGAAGACCAACTTCCGCTGTGCCCTGAGCAGCACCGGCATGTTCAAACGGCTGAAGGACAATTCCAAGTGTGGCGAAGACCCACACATGGTCTTCACCATTAACAAAGGTGAGTCTGCCCCCAGAGGGGGCTATGTTGGGTGGGGTGGGCAATCTCAGGACGCCCCATTCCTGATGATCTCCTTTCAGCCACCCTTCAGCACAGCACGGAGGGGGATTTCAGCAGCCCTGATCCTGCGGTGGACCAGCAGCCAGCACAACAGCAGCTGCAGGTAGCTGGGTGGGCACAGCAGGCTAGTGGGGTCCCCACTGCCACTGCTCAGGCATTGCACCTCTATGGCCTTGGGCTGCTCTCAAGCTGCAGCCCAGCTTCTGGCCAAAATGCAGGTCACGGGGAGGCTGTGAGCTCCTCAACCACGGCAGAAAGATCCCATCCTGCTTCCCTTCACAGGTGGAGCTTCACCCCCAAGACATGGCCCCAGAAATTGCTCTCCCAGGTAAATGTTAGTCCCACAATCATTTTTTTTTGGAGGGGGCACCCCGCTAGGCTCAGTTGGGGCTGATTTTGCGGTTGTGAGACATCCCACCTGCTGTGCTCCCCCCTAGGCAGCACCGACCCCACACAGCCCGTGTCACTGGAGAAGCTGCTGCAGCTGTGTGACATCTCCCCCCGTGACGCTGTCTGCATGACCCCGTCCTGGGTGCCCGCAGGTGAGACCAGCCCTGCTCACAGGATGCAGAGCGGGTGGCTCAATGGGTGGGTGATGCCAGCACCTCCCCATTGGTGATTTCCCTGCAGGGGACACCCTCAACCCGGACATCCTGCTCCAGCCTCCCCAGGACAGCCTGCTCCAGCTTCGTGCCGACCCCAGCCAGAACAACTGCTTCCCTCTCCCGGCATTTCAGCAGTGGGTGCCCACAGTGGAGCAGCCCGCTTTGGGCACCTACAGCCCCCTGGACTTCATGCCACCAGAGGAGCTAGGTGGGTGCTGTGGGGCAGGATCCAGCCCTGGGCATGGGAATGCCATAATGGGGTGGGAAGAGGCCAGGGTGCTGCCACTTGCACCCCATGTCAAAGCAACCCCCATCCCGCTGCATCCCGAATCCCCATGCCAATGCTGCTCATGTCCCGCTGCAGGAGCCGTGCCACTGCCATGTCACCTGACAGAGGGCGTGGTCCCCATGCAGTCACCAGGGGAGGCGATGTTTTTGGTCCCCACCGCCAGCCCTGTGCCACAGCCACAGCAGCTGGTGGGTGACACAGGTGAGGGTTATTAATTATTAGTAGTTATAAATTATTATACTTATTAATAGTAAATAATACCGGGGGGGTTCACTTTGGAGAGGGAGAACATTTCTGTTTGGAGGATGCAGCCGCTGATCACTGCCTGGTGCAGGTGCCTTCGTCTCTAACCTGGACGTCACCATCTACTACCGGGGAAAGGAGTTCCATCGGGAGATCGTGCAGGGCAGCCACTGCCTGCTGACGTACCAGCCCCTCGGTGGCTCACCAGCGGTGGCTCAGGGTCCCTGGCACGTGGTGCACTTCCCCAGCCCCGCCAACATGGCCGATAGAAAGCAGTGGCGTATCACCGAGGAGCTGCTGGGCAAGGTGGGGCTGCAGCTGGAGCAACGTGCCTGCAAGGTCTTTGCCACCCGCCGGGAGAAGTGCAAGGTATTCTGGGCCCTGTCCCAACAGCTCGAAGGTGTTGAGGACCCCCCATTCAACCTTCTCTGCCGGGATCAGGAAACCCCTATTTTTGACTTCAGTGAGTTTACCACAGGTGGGTAGGGTGTCACATTGTTCCCCATGTGTTGTTTCATCTTCATCCTGGTTTTGGGGCTCACGGGAAACAGGATGTTACAAGCATCCAAATCTTCCCAGTCCTTCTGTTCCCCAGGCTCACCCCAAAACTGATCCCTGTCTTCTCTTGCAGAGCTAAGGGACTTCCGCAACGGCCAAAGGCAGCGGTCCCCTGACTTCACCATCTACCTCTGCTTTGGTCAGGCCTTCTCCAAGGCCAAGCCTAAGGAGGCCAAGCTCATCCTGGTCAAGGTGAAGGAGCCAACAACCACTGCTGCCCAGGGAAGGGGAGAGACTCATGAGGGCCAGGGGAGCTGGGACTCTGGGTGCCTGAGGAGGGGGACCCTCGAGGTCTGTGGGAGAAGGAGGATCTGGGTGCCTGAGGAGGGACCCTTGGGGGCTGGGGCAGATGGGTTTCTGGGTGCTTATGGATGGGGACTCTTACATGATGGACGGGGGATGGAGGTTCCTCAGGGTCTGGGGAGGGGGACCCTCAGGGGCCAGGGGAGGTGAGTGCCTGGGTGCCTAAGGAGGGAGACCCTCTGTGGGCAGTGGAGATGGGGATCTGGGAGCCCTTGGCATTTGAGGCAGATGGGTATCTCGATACTCCTTGTGGGGCTGAGAGAGATAGGGGAACTGAGTGACAGGGAAGGGGGACCCTTGGAGACTGGGGGGGCTGGGTGACCAGGGAGGGAACCCTTGTGGACCAGGGGAAACATGGGGCAGCAGTAGACCTGAGTCAGAAGACATTCAGGGTCTGGGCGGGATGCTGTGGAAGGCAGCCCAGGGATGGGAACCTTGGGGTGGGGGAGACAAAGGATGCCCCAGACACCTCCTCCCTCCGCTCCAGGAAGACAGGGCTATGCAGGGTGCTGCAGCCACATCAGGCTGTTGCAGACACATCAGGCAGCTGCCCATAACCCTGACATTTTTCTTCTGCAGTTGGTGCCCAAGTTCTGCGAGTACTGCTATGAGAAGGTGCTGCAGGAGGGAGCCTCATCCCTCGACAGCCACACCATCAGCCTGCAGCTCTCAGACTCCTTCAGTCTCTACGATCTCATTGAGCAGTACACCATGCAGCTGGACTGACCCCCACCACATGGTCCCTGGGACAGGCAGCAGGACCACTGGGCACTGTGCAAACCGGCACCCCCAGCTCAGGGACAGCTTCACTGACCAATCCCGGAACTCACATGTTTCTTTTCTCCTCGGTCAGCTGCTAACGTGTTTTTGTGGGTTGTGACCATTTACAGATTTATTTTCTTAATTTTTCCAAGTTTAAATATATGTACAGAAAAGTAGTTCCCTCTTGCTGGTTTTACCTGGATGTCTGCCCCTACTATAGGTCTGAAACACCTCCTGTACACCCCAAAACCATGGGGGTCCGGCCTTGTCTCAGCAAAGTCCCTGCTGGCAGCAGCGGGCTGATATCAGAGCCCTTGTCAGCACCTTCTTCCTCTAAACTTTTAGTGAGTGAGGTGACTTCCCATACATGAAGGGATGCATTTATTGATTCATTTATTTCCGTGCGTTAAGACTGCAAACATGACTTTGACTTGCAAGCAGAGAGTGTTGAGGACAGCTTGGCTTTGGCTAAACAAAAGTAATTCTTCAGCAAGTGCCTCCCCACTGGCTAGAATTATTCACTGGAGATGTTCTGGAAAAATAAGGCAGTAGCTGCAATATGAAGCACTCAGACCTAAGCTCTGAGGCACAGAGGTGGTGCTATCTCAGGGAGGAGTGTGGAAACCAGAGCGCTGCCTGAAGATGGGGTGTCCCCTCCCCAGGCCGCAAGGAACCACACCCCCCTCATTTCAGGAGCGAGGGGAGAGAACCAACCTGGCTATCACCGTTGGTCCCTGGGCAAGGGGAGGTGGCAGTGTCCTTACCTGCCTAGTGACCTGGATGCTGCTGGGCCCAAAGGTGGTGGTCCCATAGCTTGTCACATAATAGTGAGCAGGAGGTTGTGCTGGGGGCTTCTCCAGCTGACTGGGCACTGTGGGAATAGGACAGCCTCAGCACCTCAGCTCCATGAAACTGTCAGCCCTCTTTCCCCTGAGAGCTGTTGCAGCACAAACTTGGGACCTTTGGGCTCACCTTTGGGGAGAAGCAGCTCTGTGCCAAAACGGTGTCCACACGTCCCACACGTTTTAACATCTTCCCTTGTCCTGCGGAGGGAAAAGCCACAAAAAGAAGGAGCAGGAGCTGCCTCAGCAGTCCCCATGGAAGATGATGCCAAGACAATGGAAGAGGCTTGCTTTTCCCACCCTGACCTGAGGTCCCACCATTGCACCTGGGATACTTGCTGCCCTCCCAGGGGCCTGAGCACCTTCAGCTCTTCATGAAACGGGACATGTGGGCATGTGTTCAGAGTGAATATTATGTGCCTAAGCCCAGAGACTCAGCTTCTTCACCCTTCTTTCCATGATCAACTTTCCCACACCAGTAAGTGCTAACAACACGTGGGGCATGAGCTGCTGCTGTCAGGAAGAGGGCAAAGTAGTGCCCGTCAAGTTTCACGACTAATTTCATGTGGCCTCTAGCAGCTGACCAGCCCCACCAGCATTGCAGTAGCGGTCACCCAGGTCCTGCCCTTGGCTTGGAGTGGCACAGCTTGTACGTACATGGCACTTGTGCCATCCATGTCTGGCCAGATGAACTCCGCGGGACAGCCCACTGTTCGGCAGGGAGTCTTCACACACACGTGCAGCCCCGGCCACTCCTCAGCAAGCTTCTGGATGATGAGCACAACTGCCACGAGGAAGTCCCAGGCAAACTGAAAACCTTCCAGGCAAAAGGAGAATGTCTCCCTTGCTTACAGTCCCCAACCCCAGGAGATGCTGTGGTGATGCACCCATCGCTTCCAGCCCGCCAGACCACAGCCAGAACAGTTGGACCAGCTCCATATCCCAAATTAACCAAGACCCACAGCGTTCGCTACTTGGATGGCCCTTTTGCTTGTCACTTGAAGACTCAGCCTGAGACTGTACTCTGCTAGGGCCTTTATGGGGAAGGATAACACATTTGCTCCATGAGAAGACTGAAAACTTGACTTTCCACTTCCATGTGATACTTTAGAGGAGTCCTGAACAGAACTGGATGGAGAAAGGGGAAATTTTTAACTGAACTGCTGGTGGGCCCTGGCCGGACTAGGACATGTGGCAGAGGCTTCTTGGGACACTGCCCAGAGGGCTGGAGGTGGCAGAGGGGGAGCTAAGGAGAAACATAGGGTTGGGAGTCACGAAATATGAATCAGGAATCTTACCTGTCCTTCCTGCTGGCTTTCTGCACCGGAGCTCCAGGTAGCTGTAGGCCCTCTGGTTATTCTCTTTGATCAGCAGAGGTTTGCCATTGCATACAAGCAGGCAGGTCACCTTGGCCACCCAGTGTGTGGAGTAGAAGGAGCAAGCTTTCACCAGGAACCTGTGAGGAGATTCCCCATGGCTTTCACCAGCCTCCTCCTAGCTTATCCCTTGCACCAGGAGAAAGCATGGCACCAGGTGAACTTGAAAATATGAACCCAATTTCAGTAAAAACAGAGGCAGACACCAAATGAAGACCCTCCCCTACCAAAAGCTCAAGCAGCAGTAGCAGCTTCTTAAGCCAAGAGATGATTCCAGAGTTGGCCATCTGCCCTGGTTTTGTCTGGGATGAAGTTAATTTTCTTTCTAGTAGCTGATGCAGTGCTGTCCTTTGGATTTAGGATGAGAATGATGGGGGTAACACACCAATGCTTCAGTTGCTGCTGAGCAGGGCTTACAGCAAGTCAAGGACTTTCCAGGTTCTCATGTGGCCCTGCCAGCAAGGAGGCTGGGGGTGCACAAGAAGCTGGGAGGGGACACAGCCAGGACAGCTGACTCCAAATGTCCAAAGGGATATCCCATACCGTATGGCATCATGCTCAGCATATAAACGTGGGGGAAAGCTGGCTGGGAAACCATTGCTTGGAATAGGCTGGGCATTGTTTGGTTGGTGCTGAGCAATTGTTTTTCCTTTGCATCACTTGTTCTTCTTGGGTTTTACATCTCTGTTTTTTGGTTTCCTTTTAATTACAATATTATTATATTATTATATTACAATTACAATACAATATTATTATAGTTACTACTGTTACTATTATAATTTTTTTCAACTATTAAACTGTCTTTATCTCAACCCATGAGTTTTCTCACGTTTACTCTTCCGATTCTCTCCCCCATCCCACCAGGGGGAAGTGAGCAAGTGCCTCTGTGGTGCTTGGTTTCCACTTGGGGTTAAACCACACCACCATCAGGTAAAACTCTGGAAACAAGTCCACAAGGCCAGGAGATGTTCCCAAAATTGGTACAGTCCCATGACATGTAGAAACTGGAACATCCTTAGGTGGGACTGGGAGACCTCTGAATACCTGGACAGGCACAGACTAGCCAAACACCACTCCAGATGAAGGGTGAACCAGGAACGTGGCCCTTGCTCACATCCAGACAGTGAACATTGCAATGGTTCATCCAGGACTCCACATGTGCGTGGCAGAGCTGAGAAGCCACCCTGATATCTTGACTCCCAGCCTCATGGTTCAGCAGATACAAGTCTCAACAGCCAAGGACTTGCTGACAGTCAAACTGGCACTGCACCGAGCAAACCCCGAGTCACACAACCTCATCAAGGGCTGGAAACCACTGCTTACCTCTGGAAGAAGCTCTCAGGTATTTCAGGTGAGAAGTAGGCACGGATGTGGAGGTCCTCGGGGTGATCTCCTCCCCACACCTCAGAGACTTCTTCTGTTTGGTTCAGATAGGTTGGGAACAAGTACCAGGACTCGCCTTGGCTCCATGTTGTCTCCCATGGCTTCCCAGGCACAAACTCACTGGCCTGTGGGTTGAGTGCTTCCATATGCCTCACCTCCAGGCAGAGCTCAAAGTGCTCCAGAAGGCTGAAGAGCTTCCCTCTCCCTCTCTGAGGCCCGTTTCCCATGATTTCCTCAAAGACATCCCACATCCCTTCCGAACAGAGCTGGTGCTTCACCAAAGCACGCACAGCCTGGTGGCACAGCATTGCCTTTGACTTGAAGGTCCACACCCAGTTGGCCCTGTCTCTGATGGTGGCGTGTTCCCCGATCAGTGTCTCCACAGAGATGCTCTCGAGCTGCTGGACTAGGCGATACCTCACAAGGAGCTGGATGGGAAGAGAAGAAGTGACGAGGTGGCAATGAGAGCAGCCCGGCAAAGCTGCAGAGCTTGAGCCCTGCAGAGTAGATGGTCCTGATGCCCATGCTCACCTTGAACATAGTTATTAGGAAGGTAGGCTGGAGAAAAACAGTGCTTTCCAGCTGCTTGATTTCCTCGTACCACACGACAAGCCCGATGCGGTGGAGGTACCGCAATATGTCCTGGAGAAGCTCTCTGCCCAGGCTGGCCAGGTGCTTGTGCTGGGAGAGTTTGCTGAGCAGGTACTGGAGGTCCATCATGCCTAGAGAGAGATGCAGGAGTTCAGCATGCATCTATCGGACACAGCATTCCAAGGCAGATGCTTTAGAGAGCCAACAAATGCCAGCAGCACCCCATATCACCCATGCCATTCCTGAGGAAGCAGCTGGGATTGGAGCAATGCTCAGTGGCTGTGGCCCAAAATGCTTTGCCTATCCTCAGCTGTCCCACTGCCACCCTGCAGCTACCATGGTCTTGCCTTGACTCAGCGGTGGCAACAGCCAGGATTTACTGGCACATCTGAAAAATGAGTCTAATACTGATTTCTGTCATTGTTTGAGAAAGCAGGTTTGTTTCCAGCCAGAAAACCTCAGATTGCCAGTTAAACCTCAGACTGTCATCCAGTCATGCAGAGACAGGCAACAAAACCTGGCTTATCTCCACAAAAGAAAAGCATTTGCTCCTCATTCTCTAATCCTACAGTGGCCAGGGGAGCCAGAGGTGACACAGGGTGCTGGTGCTGTTTATACCTGCTTTAGGTACATAAGCAAGGAGCTGGGACTGCCTGCTAGTCCTGCTAAGTGACAAGAGACATAGAGAAGCATCTAGGGAGGGGCAGGGGCCATTAAATAAAGTTAGCAGGATGTAGATTTGGAAACTACATAGAAACATTAAAGCTACGGAGTTCCTTCCTGCAAGATTTTTTAATTGCTTATACAGTGAAAAGGGGAGAAAGAACAATGTTACTGGAAAGACACAAACTGGACAACACGGCCAGCTAGCAGAGCCTCCTGGTGAAGACACAGTTGGCTTTCTCCTATGCTTTTCCCTAGGCACCTGCCTGGGGTGAGGGGGGTGGGGCAGATGCTTGTAGTGACAGAGCTGGGCAGCAGCAA